GGGGTCTCCCTCAAGCTTTCAGCAGCCCCTCTACCTCCAGGTTCCTTCCGCCTTGGGTTGCAGGAGTTTGTGGCCATGAAGACTAAAGAGCTGACATTTGGGAGTGGATTTTACTCCACTGGCTAACAGCTTCTGGCCCCTGAGGAGCCTCAGAGCAGTATGTTTTGCTGTGCCCAGGTGTATTTGGGTGGGGAGAAGGGGAGGCTCACAGCTTCTCTCCTCAGGTGGCTGGTAGCTATTACCTAGTGGCAAAAGCCCTGGACTGGGAGTTGTCAGGAAATCTGACTCCGAATTTTGATTCTGCCCCTCATTGACTGTGTGACCTTGAGCAAGTCTCTCGACCTCTCCAAGATTCATTTTCCTCATCTGTATAATGGGCCCTGGCCGGTAGCTCAGCTGGTTAGAGCGCAGCCCCAATATGCCAAGGTGCCAGGTTCAATCCCCGGTTAGGGCACAGACAAGAATTGACCAATGAATGCATAAATAAGTGGAACACCAAATCAATGCATTTCTCTCTCTCTTTCAAAATCAATAATTTTTTTTTAAATGGGGATAATACTGCCTATCCCACAGGGCTATCCTGAAGGTGCTTACAAAGCCGTATGGACCATAGATACACTCAATATTTCAATTCAACCAAGCAAGTGCTCTGGCTAGGTGCTGGAGGCACAAAGATAAATACAATACTTGGGTACCTTCGACTTGTTCAGAATAGAAATGCTGTTAACAGGAATTCATTTTCTTCCTTCCCTACTTTAGCCTTCTTATAGGATGGAAACAGACATTCCAGGACTTTGACTCTCTGCCTTGATAAATTTCACCTCTGTTCCCAAGATCTCGCTGATAGGTGAACAGCTATGTTTACACCCTTCACTCTTAAACACGGGAGATGGAAAGGTTACTTAAATGTTATGGGGAAAATATCCCTGTTATGCTTTCAAGTTATTATGAACAGTGATCCTTAATTTCTAGGCCTTACCTGAAGATGTTTCCACAATGAAAGTCTGCTTATTTGGCACTTAAAAGAAAACTTGCATTCTCTCTCACTCCCTGTACCCCGAGGCTGTCTGGGTTTACATTCCAGTTGAAAAGACTGGTTACAAAGGATCAGTTCCCAGTTTAACTACCTTAGTGACCAATTTCTGGCTCACCTCCTGATTTGGGGTTCGAGTTCTACTCTATAAACAAAAGGGCTTTCCCGAAAAACAGTAGCTCAGTTTATAAACAGAGGCTAATACAAAGTAACTAAAGGGGAAAATGTAGGATCTAGCTTGAACATGATGGCCATCCTTCCCTTGGTGAAGCAATTGCACAAGTCACAGAAAAATAGTTTTCATTTTAGAATAAATTGGATAAGAGCCTTTGCCAAGAGCCAGTTGTTTAATATTTCAATTTGAATTTTAAGCAGGATTATACATGCCCAAGAACATCATGCTATTTTTAGCTAATAGGTAAGATTGCTGTGTCCACAACAGTTTGGAGCAATCAGGGGTAAAACTATGAAACAGTCTCTCTCACTGCGGTACCTTTATCACTTAGCACTTCTACTTCTACTTTAATATTTTCCAAAGCTTCATCATAAAAATATTTGTACCATACGAGGCACAGTACAAAGTTCAAATAGACAGCCACAGTTTCTATCTTCATTATGGGTTTAATCCACATGAAGCAAACCAGGTTAGAGCATTCCCACCCAGCTGCCATCCAGCCCCTAAGTGACCAGGGGAGATATAACATTACCCATCCAATAATTGCACCCTCTCTACACACTGAAAGGAGAGGGGTAGTGAAAATGTTCTAAAATTGACTGTGACCATGGATGCACAACTCTGTGAATGCACTAAAAGCTACTTGAGTTGTACACCTAAATGGTAGGAGAGTTCTATCTCAATTAAGCTGTTTAAAAGGGGAGCAGAATTGTTTTTACTCGGTTCTAATTAGTCAAAGCTATTTTTCAAAGTGATCATACTAAAGAGCATCTAGCTAGAGACTGTACTGATTTGGCAATGGTACCTCAGTGGCCACCATGAAGACCACGGCACTCTTTCCCTGCAAATTTGTCCTCCTTTCCCTCACTCTCTTTCCCCAGTTCCTTCCCACTTGTTCCTCTGCTCTAACTAGATCTTAGGTCTCTCAGGTAGCCCCAAGCACAACTGGTTCCAACTGGTGGACCTCAGGATTAAACCGATTGCTGACCCTTGGCAACCTTCCCTTCATGACCTTAGGCAAGTCACGTCCTTGTTCTCCTGTCGCTCTTCCAGTTTGCACAATGAGGGGTTGGTCTACGTAATCCTTCCCAGCTCCCACATTCCATGTGAAAAAAATACAAAGAATGAACACTTACTTAGGCAGTAACATGCGGTGTCTGCCATTTTAGCCAACAGGCATATATTTGCATTATTCATTTTGTGAATGCCCACGTGATATAATCTTCCAAAGAATAGTATTAAACATCCTTATAAAATGATGGACATGGAGTCAATATTTAAAAAAACTATCACTTTATCAAAGAAAACACAGAGCCAGACACACAGTGCTTGATAGTCCCTCTGGACTTGTCTCCAAGGGTCCATTTTCAAACGAGATTTTTTTTAAAAAACCTTTGCACGTTGGGGCCCTGTTGGATTTACCAAAGCAAAGAAAGAAGTAAGATTGGGGTGGCAGAGCTTTAACAGCAGTGCTCCAACTACATGTTAAGAGAGAAAGGCTTTGTTTAGCAAGTGGTAGAGAGACCTAACGTAAGAGAGCACCTCAACATACAGGACACTCTCAAAAATAGTCTCAGAGAGCAATGAACACTGCAGGAATCCTTTTACCCTGGACAACTTGCAGCCTTGTATGGAAACCAGTCACATTCTCCCCACAAAACTCACCAAAACATGTAGTCACCAGTTTCCAACATCCTACCACCAGACAAATTCACAGCATTGTTTCCATGTGCCCAACATCAGAGAGCAAAACCGAAAGAAACACATCAATTTCTCCTACACACACACACACACACACACACACACACACACACACACACACAAATATGCGAGAGAAACCATTTTCTTTGCAGAAACTGCACTATCAAAGTTGTGGGCATGAAATGGATAAATACCAGTTGCATATAAATCATATGGTTAGCTCTACACTAAGAAGCCAACAGCAAAGGCAGAAATCATAAAAAACAATAACCCTAAGGTGTGTTTCTGGTCTTCAAGCTCAACACCAAACATGGAAAGAAATGACCCGGTGTCCATCTGCATCTCTCTGTCCCATTACCTCAAACCAGACAGTTCTCCTGTTAGTTACCCCCTACACTTCAGTCCGGATGAAGAAAGGTTAGTGCAGGAGGGGGACGGCCCCTCTCTTTCCCTTCAGACTCTAGGCTAGAGGTACTGAACCAGAGTGGGGGGAGGGCGGAAAGGACAAAGGTAGGCGCTTTAGATCCCTCACCGCTCCCAGCCTCTCCCTCTCTCGTCACGGAACCGGCGCACCTGCCCGCGAGAGGTCCCGTCCTCCACCAATAAACCGGCCCACGGGGCCTAGGTGTCCGAAGAGCCAGGGCTCTGCAGCCCTAAGGAACAAAGGGCGGGCTAACAAAAGAGGAGGGGGAGGCGAAAGAAGTCGGTGGAAACAAAAGCAGGGGTGCGGGACCCTGTTGAGGCCAAGGCCGTCCAGGGTGTTCCCGGAGGCAGCCAGGTTTGGTATATTCGTGAGTGTGGGGGAGGAGCGCTTTAGAAAATTCCTCTGAGCTTGGGGATTAGGGAGCTGCTGCGGGAGGGCCGAGGCCCTGGAGTGAGAAAGTGGACAGAGCCGGTGGGCTAGGAGAGGTGATGGCAAAGAGATGCCGCAGACAGTGACTAGGAACCGGAGGTGGGGGCGCTCCCTGGGCCCGGGAGGGACCCCCAGGAGGGTCTCCAGGCTGCGCCCGCAGGGACTAGAGAAGAGCGCAGAATGGGGGGGGGCGCAGTGTTGGGAAAGAGAATCTGAGAACAGAACCGTAGAGAGGCTCGGGCGGACGGGGAGGGGGTCTGACCCCCTCCCCGTCCGCCCCACCTCACCTGGCGCTGGGTCCGAGTCCAGGTCTAGTGCTGAGAAAGCGCCAGCTCCTCCGGCCGCCCCTCCGTCCCGCGCGGGAGACCACGGACACAAAGCGGGGCGCGCTGGAGGAGGGGGGAGGGAGACGGCAGGGAGGAGGAGGAGACGCCTGAGGCGCTCGAGGGGGGGGAAGGACGGGCGCCGCCTGGGTCAGGGGGCGGGGCGTGCGGTTGGAGGCCGCGCTTGGCCAGCCAATGGCCACCCCGCCGGCCGGCTGGCTGGGGCGCGCCAGCCCGCAGCTCACCTCGGCACCTGGGCCTCTGCTAGTCCCAGCCAATCAAATGCCTTTATTTGCATAACCGGCCCCGCCCACCCGCCCCAGCCAGGGGACTGCTCCCTGAGAACACAAAGAAGGCCCCTTGTAGGGGGAGGGGGATTCACTCCCGATTCCTCACCACGAGGGCTTGGCATCACCTTTTCGGCGCATTTGTTGGTCTTTCATGGTCACCCTGATATGGGGCTGGGTGAAGTGGAGGGTCATAGAGCTTTGGCCCAAGATGTCTTTTAAGAGGTCGGATATTGTCTCCCTGAGGTCCTTCTGACCAAGTTATCCTCCTGTTCCAGGGCACACAGTTTCTCGTCTTCGCCTCTGAGTCCTCCGCGCCCCTCTTCCAACCCCCTCCCCTTTTTTCCGCCGCCCCGTCTCTGGGCTTCTTCCCGTAGGCTGCTGCCCACTACTGGCCTTCTGCTACACTGCATCCCTGATCAGCAGGCTCTGAGCACAGCCTCGATAGATGCTTCCGACTTGCCTGCCCAAACCTACCCCTGTCCAGAAGGAAACCGAAAGAGCAAGAGGTTACTGCACTAAGCTAGAAGGGACCCGGTCAAGTGGCTTTGTTACCTACGACGGTAAAAAACCGACACTTAGCAGAAATCTATACTCAAATCATTTTGCCCCACCTTCCTTCTCCTACCTTCGGGTCTGTACTGGGCCACAATGGTGACTGACTGGCCGGCCCGTTTCAGAGCAGCTGCAGCCTGCTCATGAGTTGCATTCCTCAGGTTGACGCCATTCACCTGTTGAAAGAGGAGCTGTGAGCCACCTCAACAGCAAGAAAGGGAGTCCTCTGTCCTAGCAGTTAGGAGTAGATGGGTACCCCATCCCTAAGCCCACTCAGATGCCTTTCTCAACATCCAGTCCTTGTCCCCAAGGGGACACCTAAGGGATATGGCATCTCTAGCATCGTAATTATCTTTAAAGGGTCAAATGCCAACCAGGGTTAAGATCCAAGATACATTCATTTCCTCCTCAAGGACAAGTCTGGTCTTGGTCCCTGTCCCTCACTAAGGACATCCATAAAGAAGACATACGTTTTCCGCAGCTCTTAGCCCTTCCCCCCTCTCAAGAAGCATTCCTTGGAGAAGGCAGGGTCTCCCCTCCTCCCTTCAGACTGGCACAACTCTCATCCTCCCACCTCGCCTTTGTCTCCTCACCGATAAGATCCGGTCTCCCCTTCGCAGCTCCCCACTCAGGTCAGCTGGGCCTCCTGCCAGGATGAAGGAGACAAAAATGCCTTCTCCATCCTCTCCTCCCACGATGTTGAAGCCCAGGCCTGTGGAGCCTTTGTGCAGGATGATCTTGCGGGGCTCTCTGGTGGGAAAGCAGTAAAAGGGTCAGGCAGGACAAGGTAGATACTAACTGGTGTCCCTATGAGGGCCAGCCTGGAACAAGTCCCTCCCATATCACTGGAGAAGGACTTGGGTCTGTATGTATGACACCCTGTTCCTCCCTTTCTCTCCTGGAACCTGCTTGGCTGCTGTTTTCTGCCAGGTGCCAAGTTTCAGTTCCTCTTCCCTCCCTGATTCCCGAGGGCTTGGAGTGCGCTTCCCGGTGGATAGTCCCTCTCCTCTCTCAGATCCCCAAAGCCTTAGCCTGGGCCCTTGATGCCATAGCTCAGCGCCCACTCACTGCTCTTCTTCCTCCCCAGACTCTCCTATCCTACCAACTGGTGTGATGGAGCCTGGGCCACAAAAGGCAAATTAGTTAAGGGCAGTGGAATCACCCTGGGGTTGATTGTAGTCTCCATCCACAAAACGTTCATATTTACTTTCCCCATGCGCCTCTGCTGTCTCAAAATCCCTCCCCCACTCCACAACGACCCATCCTACCTTCCCCCAACAACAGATGTGGTCACCAGCTACTACTATGCACCCTTGCTAGGTGATGTGGGAGACAGAGATAAATAACTCTCAGGTCCCCAAAAGAGGTTTAGGAGCCTAACTGAAGAGAGGGAACAAACACAGGAGAACCAGGACTACAATTAACCATGCGTAAGAAATTCCTCAGGAAATGGTCACAGCGGCATTAGGTGAAGGCAACAGCCACTCAGGTATATCCATCCCCCGGGGCTCCCAGCACACTTTCCCTGCCCACCGCCTTCACTTTCAAGCATCTTTTCATCAGAGGAGCCTCTGGGTCTCAGCCTGAAACTTTCTCCCTGAGCCCCGGATGCTCTTGCCAGAAGCCCTCCTCTCCTCCTACCTGGCATCCCCTCCAGGTCGTAGGGAGCGGAGCGGCCAGGCCCACCTCTGCGAAGCCCTCCTCCAGGCCGAGGCCGAGGCCGAGCCGAAGCCCTGAGCCAAACCAGAGCCCGAGAACTTGCGTGCCCTCTCCATGGCTCCCGCGGCTCTCCCCCGTCTGCCTATCCTTCCGGCCCTACTGCAGCCAGCCCAGCAGCCTACCAAGCCCCACCCCACGGCAAACCTGTCCCCCGGAACCCCGGCAGGCCCGACCAGTTCCACCGCAGCCGCCGCCAGAGTGGGGCGGGGCCGGTCCCTACGAAGCCACCCGGCCCCGCCAACCTCCCCGCGTCCCGCCAACCCCACCGGCTGCACGGCTTTCCTCTGCAATTCGGAATGACTGCGGCAGAGGGGGCGGCAACTGCCTCAGGGCAGGAACCCCCGCAGCCTCCACCTCCTCGGCCCCCCAAACACTCCACCCCACCCTTTCTCGGCACTTTGGATTGGGGCCACACAGTTGGCACTCCCCCTGATGGTAGAACTTGTCCCTGCAGCCACTTCTATCCCTCCCTAGGGCCCCAGGGGCTGAGAGAGGGCCTCAGACCCCCAAAACGGGAGCGATGAGGACCTTGTCCTCTCCTTTGCCATACTACACTAGGCCTGTGGGCGGCCAGAGTCGGATTCCTCCTGGCCCCTCCCCAACGCAGGGGGCGGGGGTCTCACCTGGTGAAGTCCTCCTCGACCAGCATGTGCCTGGGGATAGGAGAGTAGCGGGCTGGGGGAACCTGAGGAGGAGCAGGGTAGCTGACCTTGCTCTCCACAGTCCCGAGATAACCCAGGCTGGAATTATGGCTTATGTGGTTGTCAGCCAAGGCAGTAAAAGCTGAAATCAAGAAAGGGAGAGAACATTTCAGACACCGCTCCACCTAAGTACCCTCCTCTCCTCCCCAAGGACCTTCCCACACAGCCCCCCTCAGATGCACCTCGGCACCAAGGGGTGCTGATTTCTCAGGCCTTCCCCCCTCCACCGAACCCCCCAGGGTTCCTCCTCCACAGCCCCTTTCTGAATCCCGGGCTCACTCCTGTGAGTCTTAGAAAGAGCTAAAGTCAAGGCAGTCTACAAAGAAAGGCATGACTGGAGGTGTGACTAATAATAATCCCTCACATCTCTGTAGCCTAATACAGTTTTCCAAGGGCTTGCTCGTCCCTGCTCTCATTTGATCCTTGCAGCAGGCCTATGAGGAAGGCAGCACATATAGCATTAGCTCCTTTTTGCCAAAGAGGAAACCAAAGACAGGTGAAAGGGACTTGTCCAAGGGCACCAGCTATAAGGGGACAGAGCTGGGGTCTGGAGTTAGTTCTCCTGAGCACTAGTCCTCTGCACTCTCTCTCTCTGTCTGTCTCTCTCTCTCTTTTAACAAGGGGCATGAACTTCTTCCCTTCTAGGAACCAGGGGCTAGGGCTTCAGCCCAGGGACAGGACACACAAGTACGTACTGCTGGCGTAGTCAGGGGGTGCATACATGTCGTTGAGGTGAAGGCTGCCTGGCTTGGCCACCTTCAGATAGACCATATCAGAGGTGTTCTTGAGCGAGGCCACAGCTTCCTCGTGCCTCACATCCTGCAGGTTGGTGTTGTTCACCTAGGAGAGGAGAGGCCTTCAGGCTAGCCCTTGGGAGAAGGCAGGGCCTCTCCGGCACTCCTGTGAGGGCCCCTTTCAGCGGAGTGCAATGGTGGCCTCAGAGAGACCCAAGCATACTGAAGCCTGAGATAGGGGTGGGGCAGGTAAGGGACTCCCAGCCATGGACAGAATTAGGGCCCTGGTATGTGGCACACCCAATTCCAAGGATGCTCTTAGAGCGCCCCACAATGCCTAGTCCCCAAGTGAGGTTCAGGTGGAGTGAGAGGCTACTGGAGCTCCCCCTCCCCACACTCCCGCCTGGGCATCCCCGTGAAAGCTGTCTCACCGCCAGCAGCCGGTCCCCGATCTGTAGGCGGCCATCCTTCTGAGCAGCACCCCCCTCGATGATCTTGGTGATGTAGATGCTGTTGTCTCCCGGGATATGCTGGTTGCCAATGCCCCCGGCAATGCTGAAACCCAGGCCTGGGCGGGAGCCAGCAGGCAGTGGGAGAGGACCACAGGAGAAGTTAGAGTGCTCAGTGAATCCCAAACCCGACCGCTGCTCCCAGCCAACACACTCACCCTAAGGGAGCGCCCCCCGCCCAGGGGTCCCAAACACTAGGCTGCCGTCCCCAGGCCAGCAAGGGTGAGACATGAGGCGGAGAGAGAAGGCTCCAAGTTGGAATGGGGAGTCAGGCAAGGAGTAAGGCTGTTCCCTTCCATTTCCTACAGGGCCCACCAGAGACCTCTGGCCAGAGCACAGGAACCCAGAGGGCCGCACCTTTGGGCCCTTTGAGCAGGTTGACCTCCATGATAGTCTCAGGTGGGGGCTGTCGCCTCCGCACCACCAACCGCACCACAGGGCCCGCCTCCTTCAGCGCCTCCACAGCCCGGCTGTGCACCACCTCCGACACGTCCACCTCATTCACCCGCAGCACACAGTCATTCACCCTGTGGGGGAAGCCCAAGAGGCATGACACGGCACCACCACCCCTCCATCCCCTCCCCTGCTTCTTCCTGCTCCCCTCCCCTGCCCACCCCTCCTCCTCCCTCTCCCCGCCCCTCCTCTCAGGTGGAACGGAAGGGTCATCCTGCAGGGCGGCCCTCCTCCGCTCCTCTCCATCCTGCCCCTGCCGCCCCCAGCCCTGCTTCCAGGCCACCTCACCCCAGCCTCCCATCCATGGCAGCTGCTCCACCAGGGATGATCTTGGTAATGAAGATGCCAGGGTCATCGGGGACATGGGGGTTGTCAATGCCGCCTGCGATGCTGAAGCCCAGGCCAGAATTGCCCTGCGGAAAGGAGTGCAGGGGCATAGTCTGCTCACTCAGAGGGCACAAAGGAGGACTCCTGGCCCCCCGCCTCCCCCTACCACCCAGAGCAGGCGCTCCAGGCCTGAGAAGGGGCCAGGGCAAACTAGGGAACATGCGTCAGAAATCTGGTAGCTTCGCACGCAGCCTGTGCTGATCATTTTGGCGTAGAGGCCTCAGCCAAGCCATCCCCTCCCCAATTCCCCAGGCTTCAGTGAGCAAGGTCAATTAATATTTGTTAGTCGGTTGCTTGATTGATGCAGCCATGCGGCCTCGGAGGGCCTCTGTGTCCCCATCCTCTTCATGCGGGTCCCCCTCTGAGTCTTAAAACTGAGGTTCAAGGCCCACCCCTCCCCCTGGCTCAATCCCTCCCCTCCCCCTTGTCCCGCCCCGCTGACGGACTCACCCGCTCAAGTACTATCTCCTCATACTTGAACAAGCCATCACTGCCGTTCACCTAGGGGGAGACACAGGCCGATCCCTCAGTGCCCCTGCCACCTCCCAGCCACCTGCCTCCTGGTCAGCCTGCTCCTCCCTTCCCCCCACAGACAAGGGAAGCCCAAATGGACCCCAGGACACCTATTGGCCACAGATGGGGACAGGCTAACCCTGAGGAAGCCACCCACCGCCCCTTTGCTTCCAGCCATATCAGGCTAAACCCAACTGCTCCTGGAGCCCAGGTCAGTGGTCTGGGACTGGGCCAGTCCATGGTGCACACAGCGAGAGGCTGGGCTCCCAGGCCTTGTGGTCCACTAGCAGGGGTGCAGGGCTGGCCTGAGGGGGGTGGCAGAAGCGGAAGGTGGCAGGTAAAGCACACCACACCGAGCACCCGTGCGGGTACCGGGACCTGGGCAGGGACCTGGGCCACAGCTCTCCACAGTGGGGATGGCAGACTCCCACTATGTAAGAGGGAGAAAGACAGCAGGTACCGTCTTGTCCAACCTCCCTCATGTAACACATGGTGACACTGAGTTCCATGGAGGACACGGGTTGTGCCTAAGGGTGTGCTGGGAGTTAGTGGCAGAGCAGGGGCTAGAACCTGGCTCTCTAGGTACTTTTTTGATTAAAGCAAGCTGCCAAGGCCACCGATGTTTTGGCCGCTCACCCTCTTCCCCAGCAGGGACAAAGGAAAGTTGCCTTTGGAGGACCTCATGAACCCTCGTCCTATGTCTCCTCCTGTGTCCCCAGGAGCCCAATTCTTCACACAAGCAGAAGGAGTCAAAGTCCTAATCCACTTTCTACCAAGGAGTGTTTAATCTTGAACCCTTTGTGCTTCCCAGCAGAAAGAGCCAGGGGAGAATCCCCAGGAGTCAGAAGCAGAATGGACAAGCTTCCCCATGAGGGAGAAGCTGATGACCATGGGCTGATTGGCAGCAGAATCCACGGCCTTCGACATGCAAGTAGCCACGAGAGGAAACGCAAGGGCAGGGGACGGAAACACAGGGTTGGTCTGAGCAGGCCGCAGAGGTGGCCTCCCAGACAGGACATACTTGTGGCCATTGTCGGGGGGGGGGGGTGGAATGTAATTCTGGACAGACAAGTAGCACCTACTTCCAGGCTCTCGCTCTCAGCATCCCCCCAAACGGAGGAGCCCTCTTGCCTTTCCCTGCAGGTAACCTGACACCCCTCCCCCACCTTTCTTTGGCTGTGTTGCCTCTTTCCTTACCCCTCTGAAGAGGGGAACTGGGAACCCAGGGTGGGGGCTCCTCCACACGCCCTGCTCTGCTTCCCCCTCCCCCCTCTGCCCCCCACACCCTTGGCTTTGAGAAGCACAGAGGAGGACTGGGGAGAGGGCTGGCTAGTCATGCCCCCACCTTTTCTGGGCCTGGCCTCGGCCCTAAGAGTTAGTGGGAGGACTCCAGCTGCAGCCCTGCTCTGCTCCCTGATCCCAGGAGGAACTGATGGCTCTTCAGAGTCCCCAGACCAACACAGCTGCCTCAAGTACCAGGCGACAGAAACACAGGGGAGAGGACACCCCTGCAGCTCTTGCATGCATCTGGGGTACTGTGTGTGCCCACATGTGATAAGCCACTGCTTCAAGCCCAGCTCCAGCGAGATCCAGATGCTCCAGCATCCACTGGTCCACCGCTCACTGCCCCCCTCAGGGACCCTGCACCCCGGCGCCAGGAGCCATCCAGCGATCACCCCCGGCAAAGGGATCTTGGCCAACTGGCCCAGCCTTGGAACTGTCACCCAGATCCCAGTTGAGCAGGGCAAGTGTGAGAGAGTGTTTGCAAGGGCAGGGCCCCAGGACGAGAGACAGGAGGACTCACTGGAGAAGGCAAGGGGCCAAGGCAAGGGACACAGGAAAGAGTAGGTGTGGACAGACAGAAGGCCAGAACCAAGGACTTCTCTCTCCAGGAAGTCCCCACCTTTACTTCTGAGTGAGAGCACATCCTATCCCCAGAGGAGGACAGAGGCGGCCAGAATGGTCACTGGCTTGGGGCAGTCGGCACCTGCTCTCGACAGCAAAACCTCCTCCTCTCTCCCTACCCTGGGGGCTGCAGAGCCAAATAGGCAGGCAGGCCCTCCGCCATGCGTGCCAGGGACCTGGCTCTGCCGGCCCAGCCTCCATTTTGCTGCTTCTCCCACAGATGCTCCTTCCATTTTCTAAGCTGGCAGTTTAGGCTGGGAGTGGAAGCCGGAGTTGTGCCCGGCACCCAGGGGTTCCCAAGCTGTGCCAAGTCAGGCCTGGGGGGCCAAGTTCTCCCACATCCGGGGGTCCCCAAGGGGACCTGCCCCACTGGGGCTGGCCCTTGCCCTGGGGCAGCCGCCCCTTGCCTGGGCCCAGGCACCATGCCTGTTCTGGAGCGAGGAAGCTCGCCTCAGTCCCCCCCAGCCCCCACCCCCAGCACACACACACTTCAGAGCTGCTTGGACAAAAGAGTCCGTCCTTCTCAGCAGCCTCTCAGCCTTGCTTGGGACGTGTCTCTTTCCTCCTCCCCCTCCCCTCCCTTGCCTGTCAAGCACCTCTCAGCAGGGACACCACACACACGCACAGGCACATGCGTGCACACTTGCAGCCACATGCTCACACACATATCCATGTAGCCACACACATTGGCAAACACGGCCATCCCTGCAGCCTCATCTCCAGAAACACCTCCACGTTCAGAGAGACATTCTCACACGTCCATGTGCACATTCACACACAAAGGGACTGGGACGGAGGGGGACTCATGGCATCGAGGGATGAAGCTCAGCGAGCCGGGCACATGGGCTCTACATAGATTCACAGGAGCTCCACTGCCTTCCTCCACACACCTCGACATGCACACACACACACACATGTCCCCCCTACGCAGAGCACCGTGCCCCCTCCTCCCCTCCTGTGGAGGCACACACCACACAGCCCCCGCAGAACCTCCCGCCCCCTGCCAGACACAGAGACACTGCTAAGCCCCGGCACTGAGACAAACCCGATCCCCCCACACAGGAAAATGTGCCCCTCCGCCATACCTTCACCCCTGACACACACAGCTCCTCCCAATCCCCTCCACCAAATGGAGACCCCCAAACAGACACACACGGAGAAGCACACATTTCCCACCGCCTCCCCAGCCCAGCTGCAATGCCAGGGCTTAGGGTCTGCTGGTTTGGAGCCCCAGGAATCCCTGCTGCACCCCAGGCCTCTAGGCCCCCACTTCCCAGCCACCCCCCGCCCCGGGTTGCCCTGCCGCCCCCCCCCACACACTGGTCCATACCTGTTCATACCAGTCCCGGTTGGTACAGGTGCACTCAGGCCACCAGCTGGGGCCGCTGCCGTTGAGTTTGGGGGTGCTCTTCCCCGGGACTGGTTTAGGGGGCACTGGCCCCACATCCCGGCCGGTGGGGATGAGCTTGGCCTTGGTGCGGGGGGTGGGGGTGGCCCCCGCCTGCGAAGGCAGGGTCTGCGAGCTGTAGCCCCCATAAGCCGTGCTGGCTCCGTTGCCCCCACCTGGCCCGTAGGGGTCGGGCACCTGCCAGTCCCCGTAGCCGGGAGGCTCGAGGCGCCGCAGGGCGGCCAGGCGGGTCACCTCGTAGCACTCGGGGCACTTACAGCAGTGCTGGTGCTTGTGCATGGCACTGCCCCCCGCGGCCCGGACCCCCCAGCCGACGCCGGTTTCCACGCCGCCGCCGCCGCCGCCACCGCCGACGGGCTCCCGGGCACACTCACACTGCTCGGACCAGGAAGGGGGGGGCACCCGTGGGGGCGCCCGGGCGGAGCGGGGCCTGGGGCCAGGCGGGCGTCCCGGGGCCTCTGCCCCCACGCTGCCCCGCACCCATGGCTCCCCCTCCAGCACTGGCGGCTCCGTGTCGCCCGTCGTGGCTCCTGGGCCTAGGCCCAGCGGCAAAGAAGAAGCGGGAGTCTGGGTAGAGGCTGGGTGCTGCGAGGACCGCTCCTGCACTGGTCCCCAGGATGGATCTGAGTGGAGTCGAGAGCATCTCTCCCTGGCTCCCTTCTCAGTTGATTCCAGCCAATCAGCGTGCAGAGTCAGGCAGCGGCAGCGGCAGCGGCAGGAATGTTAAACAGCGGCTCCTTAAAGGAACAGAGGCTTTGGCGCCCCCAGGCGCAGCCCCAGCTCCCCACATATCCCGGGTGCCGCCAACCCTAGGGCGGGAGCAGAGTACTTGGGCCACGGGTGAGCTCAGCCCCTGATCTCGTGTCCCAATATCCCCAATTTCAGCGCATCCTCCGCCCACTCCACCCCACCCCACTTCCAAGAGGGAGTTGCAGGAAGATGCTCAATGGGTCCCCGGGCTTGCTCACAGCTGGAGCCACCAGGAGTAAAGACTTGAGGCAGCAGAACGGACTGGAGGGACGCTGGGGATGTGCTCTCTCCTAACAGGGGATCAGGGCAGAGGGTAGCTTATGAGGCCACTCTCCTCTCAGTGCCTCCTCCTGGGGACTATTGTTCTCTCAACCTCTAGGCCCTGAAATGCCCGCAACCTCCCACTTGATCTGCTTCCGTTACCAGTCAGGGACTTAAGCCTAGGACAGGAGGGAAAAAAAGCTAAAAGTTCTTGTCCCTGGCCCACAGACTCCTGTCTCCTCCCCCCAACTTCCGCATAGTTATGATGGGGGAAAGCACTTCAGGGTGCCAAGAGGAAAGAGTCCAGGGCAGGAGGAACAGCGAGAAGAGATCTGAAGTCAGAGAAGCCATTCCTGGGGTCTGGAGGACTTGGGAATCTCCTTAGCCTCTCCTGGCTCTGCCTGCTGGGGGATGGAGGCAGGATGATGTGCCGGAAAGACTCTATCTTTTTCTGCTCTTGTTTTGTCATTAGCTACCAATTATCGAGTCTTTACAAAGTCTTAAGTGCTTCACATGCAAACAAAAACCCTACCAAGGTGCTACGATTATTATGTTAATTTGACCAAGTAGAAATTGAGGCCCAGAGGTGTTAATATAGCTAGGTACCACAGTTGGAAGGGACAGAATCAGGATGCAAGACCTGGCGATTTGCCTCTGGAGTCCATACTCTGAACCACTCTAGTACAGCAGGCCTATTCTAAGTTCTTCTGCAGAACTTGGATCTCACTTCAACAGATATTCACCGCACACCTGCTCTGTGCAAGACCTTGACCTAGGTCCTAGAGATACAGAAATTCATTCTTTTTAAAAATATATATTTTATTTGTTTATTTTTAATAAATAAACTTATTTAGAGGGGAAAGGAGGGAGAGAAACATGATGTGTGAGAGAATCAGTGTTTGGTTGCCTCTCTCACACCCCTAAATGGGGATGCGGCCCGCAACCCAGGCATGTGCTCTGACAGGGAATCGAACTGGCGATCTTTCAGTTTGCAGGCTGGCACTCAGTCCACTGAGCCACACCAGCCAGGGGAGAAATTTGTTCTTAATTCAGCAAATACTCGTTGAACATCTCCTATGTGCCAGACACAGTTCTGGGATTTGGGGATAAAGCAGAAAACAGACCAAAACACACACACACACACACACACACACACACACACACACACACACACAATCCCTGCCATTGGAGAGCTTACATTCTAGTGAGAGAACACAGACAAAAATTAGCACAATAAATAAATGAATTATATGCTATATATGATGATAAGTGCTGTGGAAAAAAAAGAGAAAAAGGACAACAGAGAAAGGGGAATTGGGAGTGCTAGAGAGACAGTGGGTTGGGACCATTTTTCTTCAAGGTTTTTACACGTTTTTAATATGAAAAATTTCAAATATACAGAAAAAGTGAAAGAATTTTACAGGGGACAAACACCCAATTGCTGCCTAGAGTCTTATTAACACTTTACCACATTTGCTTAATCACATATGTGTCCTCCACATATCCTCTCCAACTTTTTAAAAATGAAAATTTGCAAGCCTGCAGGCATGTTCAAAGAACAGTACAATGAGCACCTACGTATCTTCCTCATAGAGTCAACAACCGGTAGTATCTTGTGATATTTGCTCTATCAATCTAGCTACACTTTTTTCTGAACCTTTCAAATGTAAGTTACAGATTTCACTTCATTGCTCTAAATACTCCAGCAGGCATCTTGGAGGAATAAAGATCTTTTCCTACATAACCACAATGTTATTATGCAATCAAAGAAAATTAACAATATTTCATATCATTTAATATCACCTAATACCATCAGTTCTGTATTGAAATTTCCCCCAGCTTTCCTTTTATATTTTTTTAAAAATATTTTCTTTCTTTATTTTTATTAGAGAGAGGAAGGGAGAGAGAAGGAGAGAGAGAAACATTCAATGTGTGAGAGGAACATCAATTGGTTGCCTCTCCCCCAACTGGGGACCCAAATGGCAACTCAGGCACATGCCCTGACTGGGAATAGAACCAGCGGCCTTTCAGTTTGCAGGCCAGCACTCAGTCCACTGAGCCACATCAGCCAAGGCTGCCTTTTATACCTTTTAGCATCAAGAATCTAATCAAGGTTTTCACATTGCTTTTGTGTCTTTAGCTACTTTTAATATGGAACAGCCCCCATCTTTTAAAAAAAAACTTTTTAATTTTAAATAATTATAGATTTACAAGGAAGTTGCATAGATAGTACAGAGAGGGCCTGTGTCCCCTTCATCCAGCTTCCCTCAATGATTACATCTTACATAACTACAGTACAATATCAAAACCGGGAAATTGATGCTGATACAATGAGCGTCGGTCCTATGCCATTTTACCTCACGTGGAGATTCCTGTAACAATCACTGCAATTAAGATACAGGACTGTTTTGTCACCACAAAGATCTAGTAGTGTCATCATTTCATCAGGCTGAGGGAAGTGAAGAAACCTTACCTCCATCTAAGTCCCCTTCCCCTGTCTCATTAGAGTTGTTCTGCCTATATTGAACTCCACATCAGATGATGTTATACTCATTGCTTCAACCATCAGACATAAGTTAGACAACTCAATAGGAGAAAGTCTATGTACTTACATTTTTACTCATTCTATTATTTCTTCCTTCCTGATGTTCCTAGATTTCTTTGATCGTATCCTTTCTGTTTTGAGAACTGCCTTTAACCATTTTTTAGGGTGGGTCTGCTGGCAACATATTCTCTTATCTTTCCTTTGTCTGAGGATATCTTCACGCCCTTCTCATTTCTGAAGGATATATTCCCCGGACCTAGCATTCAGGATCGGCAGTTTTCTTTCAACGGTTGAGATATGTTGTGCCACATCCTTCTGACCTCCATGGCTTCTAGTGAGAAATCCACTGACGTTGAATTGTTTTTCCCCTGTATGTAAGGTGTTGTTTCTTTCTTGCTGCTTTAGAGAGTTTCTCTTTGTCTTGTTTTCAAATGTTTGATTGTAATGTGTCTTGGCATTGACTTCTTTGAGTTTATCCAGATTGGGATCTGTTCAGTTTCTTGAATCTGTAGGCTTATATCTTTTGCCAAATTTGGGAAATTTTCAGTCATTATTTCTTGAGAACTTTTTCTGCTTTCTCTTCTCCTGGGATTCTGATGACACAAATGTTACTGGGTCTTATAGCCCCCCATGTCTCTGAGACTCTGCTCATTTTTTTTTCTTTTAGCCTATTTTGCTGCTGTTGTTCAGAATGGGCAATTGCTAATGTTCTATTTTCAAGTTCACTGATTCTTTCCTCTTGTCCTCTTCCATCTTGCTGATGAGCCCGTCCAATGAAATTTTTAGTTTGGTTATTGTATTTTTCTGTTCTAAAATTTGTATTTGATTTTTCATTACATCTCCTGTTTCTTTGCTCGGACTTTCTATTTCTTTCTCATTTGTTTCAACCTTGTTTATAACTGCTCATTGAAGCATTTTTTTTAAAAAAAAAAATTTTGAAGCTTTTTTTTTTTTTTTTTTTTTTTGGCCACTTTAGAATCCTTGCCAGGTCATTTAAAGCTCTCTGTCATCTTGGTGTTGCCATCTGTCGGTTACCACTCATTCAAGTTGAGAGTCTCCTGGTTCCTGGTATGACAAGTGATTTTTTTTTTATTGCATTCTAGACCCTCCTGGATATTATGTTATGAGACTCTGCAACATTTTTTAATGTTTTTTAAAAAGATTTTATTTACTTTTAGAGAGAAGGGAAGGAGAAAGAGAGGGAAAGAAACATCAATGTGTGGTTGCCTCTTGCATGCCCCTTACTGGGGACCTGGCCCAGAACCCAGGCATGGACGCTGACTGGGAATCAAACCAGCAACCCTTTGGTTCACAGGCCAGTGCTCCATTCACTGAGCCACACCAGCCAGGGCTGTTTTTTAATAGGCTTTTTCTGACACTGTTGCCATCAATGGGAGGAGCCATTGTCTGGTTACCGCCAGGTAGTGGTAGAGTTCAAGATCCCCTCCCCTCCCCCGGCACCAATTGATAACCCATATGGGGGCTCCTCTTTCCTGCTGGGCAGGGGTGGGAGTCTCAGCTCTCGACTGACCCTCCCTGACTGGGAGAGGTTGAAGTGGTTCCTTTCTGATCTCCAGGGGGCTTCCACTGACCACGGTGGGGGTGGGTGTGAGGGTGGTAGAGGAGGGGGGTGGGGAGAGGAGGAGGGGTAGAGCAGGGGCAAAAGTGCGGCCGTTCCACGAGGCCTCCTCGGGCACTCTGACACCACCTGGTGGGGACGGAA